CCGCGCTGCCGGCGGGCGCTGCGCCGAGCGTCTGCGCACGCGCGCTCCTGAGGGCGTGCACGGGAGCGCCACGCACGTGGGTTTCCGCCCCGCGGTTTCCCCTTTCACAGCCTACGCTGGGCTAGGTTTACAGAAGCTCCCTCATTTCAGGAAAGAATACTTACTATTCTATTGCACGAATACATCATAATTTATTTGACCAGTGTCCTATGGACCAGCAGTTGTTTCCAAAATCCTGTGCTTACCAACGAGTCTATAACATGCATGATAAAATCGCCAACTCTCCTAAGACGCCGCTTCTGCGACAGGCGCGCCGTGATCCATCCACTCCCCACCAGGACCCTCTGGGCGCGCTGACCGGGATCGTCCCCGACACCACGCCAAGGCACCCGCAGCGCGCGGAGGCCGCACAGCTCCTGCGAGGCCGCGGGCCGGTCTGGGGAAGCAGGGGCCTTGCCCCCGGGCGCCGCCGCCCCTCAGCTCCGCACGCGCGGCGTGGCTCGTGTGAGCAGGAGTGCGAGCGGCGCCGTGGGCGTGCTCTGAGCGCCACGGGCCCTGCCGGGACGGCCCCGCCCTGCCGCCGTCGCCCGCTGGGGGCCTGCTGCGCACAGGCGGTCCCTGCTGTGACGCTGCCGCTCGGATTTGAATCGACTTGAATCGACGGTGTGAGGAGGGCGAGTGTCTTTTCTAATGTGAAGTCTCTTTGTAGAGGATCTGAAATGCCTTCCCATACCCTTCCTTTGTCCATTTTTAGTTAATGTATTTTGTTAATTTTAATGTTAGTAAGTCTTCCTGTTTCTGCTACGTTCAAATAGGGTTTTCTTACTTGTTTTGTTTATTAATGCAATACTAAAAATGCATATACTAACACTGCCATCTTCTGAAAGTGATTTTGATTAGGGGTGATTTATACATTTAGCTTCTATATTATCTATGTGTAAATCTAACACCTTTTTCATGGCTGTATTATGTTATTCATTATGCTCTCAAAAATGCCCATTGGTTTCCACCTACAAACTTTGCACTGGATTTAAAGTGGCTGTGAAAGCTGCCTGCGAGGCGGGGGCTAACACGGTTTTCATCCTGGTCCAAGTAGGATGTGTCCACAGGATGAAGGAAAATGACATTCATGAGGATAATTCTATTTCCTCCCCAAAGGGGGGAAAAAGCACGGCCGAAGGCCACTCTGACAGTTCTGTGCACCAGGCTGTGCAGCCCCTCGGGGCTGGGGGGCCGCCCCCGACTGCGCAGCGGCCTCCCCAGCAGGCACAGCGCGCAGGGCGCCGGCGCTGAACCGAGGGGTGCGCCTCCGCCGTTTGGGAGCAGGTCCAGAAGCCCAGCACGTGACTCTCTCTGATAAAAATCCAGCTAAGTGCCTGCAGAAGGAACTGTGGAAACCAGCAAAGAGGTTTAATGATAAAAGCCTGCATGGAAGCTGTTGCTAGTTATTTAAACAGAATATGCTTCTCCAAACATAGTAATAATGGCAGATCTTTATAAATGAGATGGTGTACAATCTTTTCGTCAAAAACGGGAAGACAGAAGATAAGAAGCTAACTGCCATTGGGGAGGAACCATGGAGATGGCAAACAAGTCCGCGTGGAGCCCCCACAGCAGAACCGCCCAGCAGGGCTGCGGGGCACAGGTGTCCAGCCTGCCACAGGCTTCGGCAGAGGTCACCAGGAGTTAAGGCCCCTGTCCTAGAACGCAGCTGTATGCACCAAGTGCCTGGTTTCCGTAAAGTCTGTGCCTTGATTCTCCCCATCTCTGGGGATGGTATTTAAGTCATTCCCAGCTGTACCCATCTAGTGAGCTAGCCTTTCAAGACCCAGTTCTGGGGTTAGCCGCTCTTCAAAGGCACCTCTGACCCCAAAGGTCTCCTCCGTGTCCTCAGTCGTCTCCCCCAGACATCTGCTGATTCAGCGAGAAGGACTGAGCGCCTCCTTGAGGGCAGGGGATGTGCAGGAGCCCAGAAAAGGGCCAGGCCCAGATCCTGCTTGGGAGGAAGGCGCCTGCAGGGGCCACGCCCCGGGTGGTTCAGGCTGTGGCTCTCTCCAGGGCAGCGGCCACAGCTTCTCCGCCTCTGTGCCTCCAGAGCCTAGAAGGGTCCCTGGCGCAAAATACGCAAAGTGTTGGGTGAAAGAGGAGCTGATGAAAAAAGGATTAATGCACACTTACTCGTTGGCACCTGTGACAGACAAAGGCAGCTCTGTCAAAGCCTTTTCTCTGAGTAATTTTTTGTCATATCTTATTGTAATGCTAGCTTCTGGATATTTTTATTCAGCTTGGAAATAGACTTGGATTAACAACTGAAATTTGAAGACTAGTTGGAATTAACAATTTGTATAAAATTTGGATCCCAAAATAAAATTCATTTCTATCCTGTGGTAGACCACCTACACCTGCCTCCGGTACTACCTTGGCTACTTACTGACATGTCACCTAAGGACAGTCACTCCAGTCCCCTCGCCTCCCTTTACTGACCTCTGAACTGGGAAGAGCGATCACTGCGCCGCCTGGGCCGCCCGGCGCCGGCACACGTGGCAGGGCGCAGGCACCGAGAGCTCTCAGCGCCCACCAGTGATGCGGGCAGGCAGCCCCGCCTCTCCACATCCTCACTGCTGGCAGGGGCCCTGGGAGGCGCTCACGACCGCCACCTCTCTGTCGCTGGTCTTCCGTTGAGAACGGCCAGCTCCTGGGGGCAGCGCAGCCTGCTGACCGCGGCGGCGGGGCTCTGGGAGGCCGGCCCGCTGGTGGCCCAGCTTTAAGGAGCTGTCGGAACCCACATCTCCATCCTCAGTGTGGATTTCATAAAACTCTGTACTTAGCGTTCTTCGGTGATGACTAGTTGTCTACCAGATCAGGCTCAGAAAAAACTATCTAATAAAATCTGATTTTTTTTCAAACTGAAAGAACGAATTGTTTAAGGTATGGTCCATGTTCAAATTGGATGTGGAAATCCACTACTGTAAAGTAAAAAAACTTCTATTTCTATTTCATTAGGACATTTTGCCATGTGATCTATAGGTTGAACGCAATCCTCATCAAAATCCCAATGTCATATTTTCAGAAACAGAGATGCCCATCCCAAAGTTTATATGGAATGTCAGGGGACCCCCCAAAAGCCAAAATACACTTGAAGAAGAAGAACAAGTATTCGACCCCTGGTCTCCAAACTTCCAGCAAGGCCATGGCCATCAGCATGGCGCGGTGGTGGCCCAGGGACAGACATCGGAGCAGCGGGCAGAGCAGAGCCCAGAACTCAGCCCTGGCTCGTTGGGCCCAGGGCCTGTCACCAAGGTGCCAAGAGCATCCGATTGGGAGAGAACAGTGTTTCAACAAATGCTGCGGGAAAACTGGATATCTACGCATACTATATGAAATGTAAAAACTAAAAATTAACTCAAAACAGAGCATAACTTTCTATGAGAGCTAAAATTATAAGACTCCCAGAAGAGAACACAGAGGAGCATCTTCACAGCACTGGGTCTGGCAATGATTTGTTGACTAAGACACCACGAGCTCCGGCAAGAAAAGAAACGAGGCCACAGCAAAACAAAAGCCTTTTGTAGACTGGCGGGCACTCTCAGCCGAATGAAAAGGCAAACTATGGAATGGCGGGAAGTATTTGCAATATCTGATAAGGGGTTAATATCCAGAATATATAAACAACCCCTACAACACAACAACAACAAAACAACTCAATTAAGGCAAACGACTTGGGCACAGTTACCCAAAGAAGGCAGGAATGGCCAAAAAGCACATGAAAAGATGTTCAACATCACTAATGAGGGAAATGCAAATCAAAACCATTTGAGACACCATCTTATGTCCATTAGGATGGCTGTTGTTAAAAACCAAACAAAACGGAAAACAAGTGTTGGAGAAGAAGTGAAGAAACTGGAAGCCTGTGGGTCGCTGGTGAAGCTACAGACTGGTATAGCCACCACGGAGAACAGCGCGGCAACTCCTTAAAAAACGAGAAACAGAATTCCACACAATCAAGCAACTCATCTTCTAGGTTCCGCTCCGCCCCGAAAGCAGGGACCTGCACACTCACGCTCACAGCAGCGCCGTTCACAAAACCAGCAGCGGGAAGCGCCCCAAGTCTGCACGGACGGGCCAAGGATAAACCAAATGCGGGCTGCACACACAGTGGACTATTACTCAGCCTTAAAGGGAAGGCTATTCTTCCCTTTATGCAATAATGCAATAATGACGGTGAAACCTGAAGACAAACTACGTGAAATAAGTCAGTCACAAACTGACAAGCACCGTGTACTCCACTCACACGAGGCCCCAGGCTGTCAGAGTCACGGTGCCAGAGAGCAGGACGCAGGTCGGGTAGGAGGTGCAGAGCGGCTGTGCAAGGGGAAGAACGGCAGCTTCAGAGGAACAAGAGCCTGGGGGTGGATGGTGGTGACGGTCACACAGCTACTACTGGACTGTACACATAAAACAGATCGAACAGTAAATCTTACGTTACACATAGTTCACTACAGCTTAAACAACTCTTTTAACAAACCCTTAATAACATGAAGTTGTGCAAGGAGCATGATTTCCAAGATTCGCAGTGGGTCCAAGGGAGGTTTATCAACAGTAACTGACAGCAAACTGTGAGGACCTTGGGCTATGCAAATGAGGCCCTCATTAAAGACCTGATTAATTTCTTTAAAGGTAAAGTGTCCCTAAGTAGATTTTAAGGGGCTTCTGGACAACTGCCAAAGGGTGAACAGACTGTTACAATGGCTATGAAATTACTCCTGGTTAATGTACTGGGATAACAGAAGACTATGTGAGTCTATGTTTAGAAATAGGGGATAAAATCTGACTTTATGTTGAGTTTGTTTATTAAAATTAAGGGACACTGTGCACTCTGGCAAATCAAAACCCTGCCATTCACAAACCCACCTTGATGGTCTTTCAAAGTAAAGTATTTCGAGGTAACTGGACCACATGTGTGTCTGCACAGGGCCCGGAGCAGGACCCAGAGCCGTTACCTTTACGTGTCTCCTCGGGGAGCCATGTGTCTATGGGATGAGCGGGAGCCTTTCTTGATGGAAAGTCGTCGATAATTTGGGAGATACACTTGATTGGATTCGATCACTACATTTTTTTCTTCTTCCACCAGATGTGGGTCACTCTAGAGAAAGAAAAAAAAAAAAAAAGAGGCAGAGAATGAGGTTGATCTTCCTAAGGAGACAAAATTCCTGCACAAGGGGTGTGAGTCTCAGGGAGCTTTGCACTTGGAGACGGGGGGTCAGAGCGGGTGGGCCGAGCACAGACCACGCAGGCACCACAGGGAGGGACGGCGGGGAGGCCGCCTCTCTGCGGCCGATTCACTTCTGAGAAACAGTTCCCTACAGAAAACTCCTTCAGAAAAGTAAACTACTGCTTGTGGTCTAAAAAACAGTAAACGTATTCTTATAGCACTACATGTGAGAGGTATTTTGTATTGAATATAAAAAGTATCGTGGCAGCATGAAATATGCAGAGGCCAAATAGAGAAGCGTATCTATGTGTCTGTACATACATGATGGAGGACCCCCAAAACGGAATTTATTTATAAAAAGTTGTGCATTTATCCCTACGTGTTCAAACTTTGGCCACCTTCAAAGCACGCGCCATTGGATGCAGCGCACTCATTGAGACACTTTCTCCACTTCTCAGAACAGTGTTTGAACCTGTCGATTTTGATGCCTTTTAGCGCTCCTACCGTTTTTTGTTTTACCTCTTCCACTTTGGCAAAACGTTTCCCTTGGAGGACCTTTTTCATCCAGGGAACAAAAAAGTCAGAGTGAGGTCGGGTGAACAGGGAGGGTGGGGCACAGGGGTCATGCAGCTTCTGGTTAAAAACTGCTGAACACTCAGTGCGGTGGGGGCAGGTGCGCTCGTAAATCATCCATCGTGAAATGGGCAAATGCATTGAAAGAGTGTTCAGAAAAATTCACTGGAGCTTAACGCAGCCTCTCACAACCACGCCAACTGGCCGACTGACACAGATGGGCTCCTAGAACACTCACTAGTGGGGGAGCCTGTATTACAAGGGGCCTGCCCTCCAAGGTAACTCTGGGGTGTTTTTGGGTTTCCCCTCATATACACAGCCTATATCATCAGCACATTGTCAGAAATGTTTTTATTTTTGTCCTTCCTGCTATAAAGACAGTAAGCTGCAGTCCTTTCCATCTAAAAGACTTTACAAGAGCATGCTATTTGCTAATTAAAAAATAAGCAAAACAGAACCTCTCAACAATTTAAATTTTTATTTGTTATAAGTATAAAGCAGCATCCAAATAAAGTGTTTAAAATGGGCCTTATGCATACTCCTCTATTATTAATAGTCATATAGTGAGCACAGTGATCTTTAGTATGTTCTGAGGTGTTACTAAATTGGCTAAAAATGGTTCAGAAAGTAAGTATTCAATATAGTGGTTTTATGAAAATGCATGTTAACTCCCAATTGATAAAGAACATCAAATAGACAAATTTAAACAAATCTTATAAATGAACCAACATAAAGGAAAACAAGTACATGACCAATGGTGCATGAACAGGACCGGGCGTCAAGAACCAGGGCCGCCCCATTGGATGCACCGCCCACGCAGCGCTAAAAAGAACCGCGCTTTGTACGCCGTGACTCCGTTACTTTTCACAGCGCCGCACTCGTCCGGCAGGGCTAGAGACTCGCCCCGTCACGGGAGCCTCCCAGTTCCTAGGCTGAGCACGCGTCGTTGTCACTGCGGGGACGCGCGTGGTCCGGAAGGCAGCGCGGAGAGAGGCCCATGCTCCCCGCAGGCGTAGGCTAGTGTCCTCCCAGCAGATGTCTGCAAACAGTCAGGGTTGTTTATTTTAATCCTCATCCAAGGACATGCTTATTGATTAAAATATCTGGGTTTTCCATTGAAGTGGTAAGTATCTACAAAATAGAACTTTGTGACCAAAACAACAGGCTGTCTGGTGTGTGCCCCACATCCCCATATGCACATCCACAAAGAGGCAGCTGGAACGCTCTCCTCCTTCCCCATGTGGAGCCCTGGGCCCTGCTCTCATCTCCAAACGTCACCATCTCTGTCTTCCTGTCCTCGGGTGACACGGCGACGGGCTCCTTTCCCGGTCCCCTTGAGCTCACCTGCAGACCCGAGACGCAGCCCCTCCTCCTCCGGGAGGAAGTTCCCCAGGGGAGCCTTTTCTGCAAAGTGCATTTTCACCTGGAGCCACCTGGGTGCTGCAGATGACAACTCCCTGAGGGGTGTGTGATGCTTCTTACAAATGTACACACACGCGCGGTCTGCCCAGGATGTACCCAGCCATGGAATATGAAAAATAGAGACATCTGTTGACAAGAAACATTGTACACAGGGCACTGACACCTCAGTCCCCTTCAAAGTTGGCGCCTGGGAACTTCACGCAGGTCTCCCAGTCGCCATCAAGTGCCCCGTCATATTTTCCTGAATCTCATCGACCGTCTGAAATCTCTTCCCTTTCAAAGGTGACTTCAGTTTTGGGGAAAAGCCAGAAGTCGCAGGGCACCAAATCTGGACTGTAGGGGGGCCGAGTCACCTGGGTGATTTGATGTTTCACTAAAAACTGCACGAAATGTGATACGTGAGCGGGCACATTGCGTGAGGAAGCTGCCAGTCACCAGTTGCCCAGAGCCGCGGCTTCTGAGTCACCCAAATAATTTTCGTGGAGGAACGTTCAAGCTTAACGCAAAATCTGATGCAGATTCATTGCTCTACTCACTCAGCCACTTTGAATGCGACGGCCACAGAGCACACATGCTCACTCAGTGGTGTCACCTGCCCCACTGATGAGCACCGAAGGATGCTGTCCCTGTGGTTCTGGCTGCTCTTAGCAGGGAGCTCAGTTACAGACACAAGCACAACAGCCAGGTGGGCGCGCCTTTGAAGACTCAACCGCGCTCTGCTCTCAGCTTACGCTGGACTGACAGCCTCCCCTCACACGCTGTTGCTCAGGTAACATACAAGGCTTTTCAATGGCAGTTGTCAAATGAAATTGTACTACATGGCCATTTCTTTGCTTTAAACTCTTTGCTTTGAGATGTTTGCAGGCTCACAACGCAGCTGCATCCCATGCACCTTGAAGCCCCGCGTCCCCCGGCAACATGATCTTGCAGAGCTGCAGGGCCTCCTCAGAGCCAGGGTTCTGGCAGAGTCTTTCCACCGACCTTGTTCAGATTTCCCGGCTTTACTTGCACTCACTGCTGTGTGTTTAGTCCTACACAGTCACACTTGCGCAGGGTCATTCGTCCGCCACCACAGCCAAGACACAGAACGGCCACAGCCACAGGGGCCCCTCGTGTCCCTTTTACAACCACACACACTTTTCTTCCTGCAACTTCCAATCTGCCCACTTCTGTGAAACTGGCCATTTCACGAAGGTTCTGTAACACAGGGACCAGACTGGTAGCTGCCGAAGGTGAGGGGAGTAGGGGAGGAGGTGGCGAAATGGGCGAAGGGGGTCGAAGGCGTCAACTTCCAGCTATAAAACGCCTAGGTCCCCGAAACGAGATGTGCAGCACGGTGACTCCAGTTAACAAGGCTGTACGGCATGTCTGACAGTTGCTAAGAGAGTAGGTCTTAAAAGTTCTCATCACAAGAAAAGAATGTGCAGCCGTGAGGTGATGGGTGTTAACGAGACTTACTATGGTGATCATTCCACAACAGACAGGAAGACTGAGTCACGTGTACACCCGAAACTAATGTTCTATGTCGATTATATAAATAAAAATGAACACGTTCTATAAACGGACGGCACAGTCTGTGACCCCTGGGGACGTGGCTTTTTCGCTCAGCCTAAGCTTCTGAAGGTCCATCCAGGCCGCAGTGTCTCAGCCGCGGGCTCTCTACCTTGCTGCGTGGGGCTGAGGGCGTGAGCGAGCCTGGTTTTAACCGTTCCCCCGTAGAGGGACGGCGGGGTGTTGCCGTCTTGGGCCACTATGGATAAAGCTGCACCCAAAGTTTGTCGTCACTACTCTTTATTTTAGCCATTCCGACAGGCGTGTGCGGGTGTCTCACTGTGGGCTTAATCTGAGTTTTCCCGATGGCTAATCATGCTGACCATCTTTTCATGTGCTTGTTTGCTGTGTGTCTGTACATCCTCTTTGGTGCAAAATGTGTCCATGTTTGCCGATTTTCTAAGTTCTTTTTTTCTAACTGGAATTTAGAGAGTTCATTGTATATTCTATATACTAGTTCTTTGCTGAATATTTTATTTTTTAGAGAAGGGAAGGGAGGGAGAAAGAGAGGGAGAGGAACATCCATGTGTGGTTGCCTCTCACATGCACCCCCATGGCCCGCAACCCAGGCCTGTGCCCTGACTGGGAATCGAACCAGTGACCCTTTGGTATGCAGGCTGTGCTCAGTACACTGAGCCTCACCAGCCAGGGCTCCTGCACATTTTTCCCAATTTGTTTCTTGCCTTTTCACTGCTGTAGGGCAAACTGCAGAACAAAAGCTTTAGTTTTGATGAAATGTAATGCATCACTTTTTCCTTTATGGATCATACGTTTATATGTTTATGCCATTATTTTCTGTCTTCTTCCACTGAAAAATGGCCCTCCATTATGGCAGAGACTTTGTTTTCTAACTCATTTCTAATTCCAAAAGTCTAGAACTACGCCTGACACAGAACAGATACTGAACGAACATGTGAAATGAATAAATAAATGTATACTTGGTTTTAGATCACTGTGATGTTAATGGTTATATTATCACATTCATTTTTTCTTTCTTAATATTTATAAGAAAGGACTGATTTTGTCTTTCCTCATTTGACAAGGGTGTATACCATTCAAATTACTTTAGATTAGTTATGCAGTACATTTTAAAAAGCATGATTTGTCCCCAAGTTCAAGAATGAACGATTACTTCATGCGTGTTTTTTAGACTGATTATATATTAAGAGACAGACTGAAATTTCATAACATATCTTGTCATAAAAAATAGACATAAATCACATTTTGCTTAAAATTTTTGCTTTGGGCCTAGAGAAAACCGGACTTGCTTATTCTCCTTCCCTCTCTCCCTCCCTCCCCTCTTCCCACCATTTGTTCTTTCTCTACATTTGTTCCTAAATGGTGAGTACAGAAGAATTTCTCAGGCTGATACCTGTAAGTACTTC